TGAATTTGTGTTATATTGGGTCGCGTTGTATCGGGGTAGAGGTGTATTTAAAATTACTTATTGCATATGGTGTAGCAATTTGAACAATCTTACATGTGTATAGTAAGGGAAATTACTTTGTAATAGTTTTCTAACTTGATATTCCCTATAAATCATACTTTGGGGTTCTGTGGCACTAGGAGCTCAGTGTAAAGCTTAAATTAATCCTCCCTTTCCTCCTATGTCCTGTTCTTGAGACTGATCCATCCACACATGTCACTTTGGATTGGTAGGAGTAACTGAATACTATGTATTCTAGGCCCTCTAGTGGGAAATTTCTCCAATATTACATAATCCTAACTTTTGGATGAAGGGCTGTGTGTAATTGGATTTATATAGGAAACTACCTTCAGAGAGCTGCTTTGCAATCAACTGACTTTCACTTCATGAGGAAGTAATCTCATATCGCTCCTACTTTGAAGGTTGTAGTGGAGACCACCTTTGTTGTCCAGAGGAAAAGTTCCCCCTTCAGAGGCTTCCAGAAAGTATTCCATAGCCTAAAGTCTAACATAACTGAGGTGCTTTTTCTCTCTCTGTCCTTGTTCAGAATAATCCTGTTCTATAGTCATCTGAATTGAAACCAGTTTTGGACAATAAATAATCCACCTGAGATTTATTTACTATTGTGCAAGAAAAGGCAGAGCTACTAGGAAGATAAGTGGACAGCCGATGAAACCCTACATTTGCTAGTGGAAGGGTTACAAACACAACATAAGCAGTCAAGTATCAGAGGGGTAGCCGTGTTAGTCTGAATCTGTAAAAACCAACAGAGGGTACTGTGGCACCTTTAAGACTAACAGAAGTATTGGGAGCATAAGCTTTCGTGGGTAAGAACCTCACTTCTTCAGATGCCACAGGACCCTCTGTTGGTTTTTACAGATTCAGACTAACACGGCTACCCCTCTGATACTTGACACCATGCAAGGCACTGCATTTAGCCGTATGGAATGGAAATCTATCAACCTCATGAAGAAACATAAGCAGTTGAGATTAGCACGTGGATACTCCCTGTATGATGTGTCCTCACACCTTACAAATACGTTTTGATAACTTGTGATACATACGGTCCTGATGCTGTATGTCTCATGCAAAACAGAAAAGGTAGCAATACTTAAATCGGTATTCAAAAACTTCAAAAAAAAACCCTTCACCTACCTCATTGATTGCAGAAACAAAATGGCTTCATTATCATTGAAGTATTCAATGAAGAACCAGAAGATGTCATATACACCACTACTTGAGTTTACCTGTCTTCTAGTATGCTCCACTGGCTGTGTATGGATTCAAGTTTATTCTTTGCAATGCCTGAATATTATTACTTAAATGTGATATCTTGTCATTTGATTCTCTATTTTAATAAAGTGAACTTTTTTTACTTTGCTGTTGTAATATTTTCTAGTTTTAGACCCAAGCTGTTAGTGCTGGTGATGGCTTTTCCCAAATTTGGTGATTAATGAAATGATTGTTTACACCCTGTACTAGACTAGCCTTTCTACGTCTGTTACGTAACTACACAGAACTGTGTCAGAGCCTTTGTTGGAGAATATGCTCTGCATATATTCAGATGAGGAGGGCATCTGAGAAGAGCTAAGAAGTCTGCTCAGTATTAGCTTGTAGTAGTAGCAGATATTGAAGCAAGAGCATATATGTAACGGTTGAAGATTTGTCGAAGGTTCACCATGTGTAAGGGGAGTGCAGAGGTCTGAAGTGATGCACGATCAACAGCAACCAAATTTCCAGTTCTACTGGAAAGAGGGAGATTCTATAAACTGAGAATTTAGGTTCTGATTCAAAGCACATAAATCAGTGGAAAGATCCACTGATTTCAATTACCCCTAGGCTAAGTCTACACTGTTTAGTAAATCTGGGTTTAGATTTAGGTTTAAGCCCAAGCCATCTACCGTCCACACACAAATCAGACGTAAGCCTGCAGACTCGGACACCATATCGATCTATACCTGAATCTTGCTGCGATGTGGTTCAAGCCCTGGGATTTTGCAGTGTAAATGCAGCGCAAGTCTGGGTGGCCAGACTTGGGTCTGGAGAGTCTGCTAAATGGCTAATGTTATTCCACAGTCCCCTGGGCCTGTTTCCCAGCCCTTCAGTCCCAAACTTCCCACTCAATTCTTAGGAACCGGACGCAACCTCCTGGTTTAAAGACAGCTACTTGGCGTTTAACCCTTTAGTTTTGTGCAGACTGCTCAATGGAAGTGCGCTGCTAGCTGGTCAGAGGTTACACAGATGGATTCTGGTTAATCTCTGGTGCGGTGCAAGCTAGACATTCAACTTCAGCCAAAGCACAAGAGAGGATTGTGTCTACAAAGCTGTATCTGAGTGTCTGGGGGGCCTTGGGGATTGACCAGGCTGGAGATCAATGCAGAGAGTGAACTACCGGAAAATCAAGGATGATAGCACCCTTATAAACCTGCACTTACAGGCACCACTGGAGGACAGCTAGCAGCTGCTGGATGAAGGTCAAAAAGTGAACCTGGTACAGACACGGGTTCATGAAGATGGTAGGCAGAACACCTACAGCATACCCTGGTCTGTATTCAGAGGAGTGGTTTGGTGATGGCCCTGGGAAGCAGCTTGCAGTGGAACTGGCAGCAGAGAAATCACCAGAGCCTGGTAAGTTTCTGCTACAAAATATTTTACTGTTAATATATGGATTGGAGGGTTTTCTGACTATGGACCTATTAAATTATTAATACAAGCTGGGGGCTTAGTGTGCTTCCATTCAGAGCAGAACCCACTCTGGGAACTGAGGAGGGGGAAAAAGTGGATGATTCAGGTGATGGCTGGACCATGTCACAGGTAATGAGTGCTAGTACATGAAACAGTCAAATATACCCAGTAAGCAGGTTGGGGCATTACAATTGAGCCTCACATATCCCTCCCTGGTAATACAGCACACCCTTAAAAGTCAGCTATACCTGCACTGTCCTGGACAGCCTGTACATGGAGGGTTTTTTTTGTTTTTGTTTTTTAAAGGGGGGGCATGAGTGTATTTGGTCCATAGTTGGCTGAAATAGGAATCTAAACAGTACTGAGGTGTGTATATAGTTCAGAGCTGCCTATACTTTGTGTCCAAACTACAGCAGCTGCCTGTGTGCTAGGGATCCCAATGGCTGGCAGCCGGGTCTGTGCGTGGATGCAGGGTACTTGTAAGGAGGCTGTACTATGTCTCCATGCTAAATCAGCATCTTGTTGATTTTTACCAAGAATCTTCACCCATTGCTGGCTGGGGATGAATGAAAACCTCTCATGGAGTAGGAACTCCAGATGGTTAGTTATGCACCAGGGCAGGGCCTACTTATTAGGGCTGCCTCTAGCTCGCATGCCCCTTCCTTTTGGGGATGTGCTGGTCAGCCACTGTGCCTTTGCATACACAGATGGCTGTGTTCCACTGGTCTGGAACAAAAGTTCCCGCTTCCACCTGGGGACCTTCAGAATATCAATGTCCACCAGAGCTTGCCCGGCACAAAGGATTGTAAAATACTAGCTAGTGAGAAGGTCCCCTCATATGACACCTCCTGTCCTGCCCAGAAAATAATGGTGGGGATTTATTAATCATTTTAATTGAATTTTGTAGGTGTATGTTACCATGATGTGTGATGATTTTCAGTGTTCCAAAGGATGTCTAAATTGGCCAGTGGTTTTTGTGTGAATAAAATAAAACCCATTGATTAAAAAGTATCATCTTCTGACCTTGAATTGAAGCAGCTCCTTTAAGAGAGTAGAAAATGTAATTATTTTGTATCATGGTCAGATAATAATGTGCTCTTTTATTTTCCTTTCAAGGCCTCTCAACTGTCACCTCTGAATGGCACACACGTAAGCTAGGAACCTGTGGGAGTGGACCCTCCAACTATAGGCAAGATGAGTTCATGGGGAGGTTCTTGATAAAACCAATCAACAGATTGAGTGCCAGAAAAATAAGGATGCAAGAAAGATGGGAAAAGAGACCGCACACTGGGAGGAGAGAGTGGCAGCATAGTTCTAGAAAAATTATGGCAGGTTGAGGGAGGAAGACAGCGCAGCAGAAAGAGCTGTTCAAGCAGTTACTTGCAGTCATGTCCACCTGACTGCAGGCTCTAGTGCCAGCTCTAGTTCCTGCTTCAGCCATGCACACTGAGTTCCCTCCACGCTATCAGACTGTGGCCTTTGGATGATTCA